GCACTCAGTGTTATTGAACAGAAAAAGAGAATGAGGATATTGGTCATAAATGTGGCACTATGACACAAAGTTAAAGCAAGAGGGTTCTCGGTTTGAATCCACCAGCTAGCTGGTACCTTTCTCTTCAGTTTCCATACTCAATGGCAGGGGTGTCCAAGTCCAGGCCTCAAGGGCTGGTGTCCTGCAGGTTTTAGATCACTATTTCATTCCCAGGCCTCTGGAGAACTTCAAGACAAGTTGAGGAGGTAATTTAGCCATTTAAATAAGCTGGGTTGGATCAAGGACACATCTAAAACCTGCAGGACACCAGCCCTTGACGCCTGTAGTTGCTCTATGGGTTCTCTGGCCTTTTCCCAGTTCAGTGATAATTACGTTAGATTAACTGGTGGTTCTCAATTGGCTTTAGGTGTAAATGAATGATTGTCTGTCCCTCTGTGTTAGCCCTGCAACAAACTGGTGACCTGTCCAGGCTTTGGCCTGTCTCTCATCTAATGACAGCTGGGGTATAGATGGATATTCATTTTACACTTTTAGCAGTGGATTTCTACAGATCACAAGCTTAAGGAAAAGCCTAATCATAGAGACAAAACGAAGAGTTATGACCTCGGTGATGATGAGTGTGTTATGCTGTTTTCCAGATCTTCTTTATTATGGACTTTTTTGAGGTGGGCGGGGGTATGAGTTTTTTGCGAAACTAATACATACAATATGTCTAAGCTGGACTTTAAGCATTACATCCTAAGTGCAGCAAGCAGAGATGAAATTATTTGCATGTGTCATGTCTCCATTAAGAAAAAAGAAGTTCTGGAGTGACAAAACACATTCATGCAGTATTGTACTTCCATTCCCCGGGTGACAAGTAAACTTAGTTATATGAATCGACGCTATACGACTAACAGAAATATTTTGGGGTTTGTGCAGTTTTGTGATTGATAGAAATGTTTGTGACAGTATCCACTTGTCTTGATGCTTTTCTTCCATTTTTCATCTACTTCTTTCCCTTCACCTCCCTCAGCTGACAGCAGTGGTTTTGTTGATGTGATGTTCTGTCATGCTACAGAGACCCAGAATCCCATGCTTGTCTCCTCATAACAGATTGATGTGAATTCTTTGAGCACAGTATTGAAACAAAGTAAGGCACTGAGTGATCTGGGACTTTTTAAGCCTCAGGTAGTTCCGTCAGATTTTGCCCAGCAACTCTTGCTTTGTGAGTTTTGCATTGTCAAACACTGGAAACAACCAGGGCTGTCTCAACAGCACAACTCTGGACCTAGTGACGTCTGTCTTTATCTTATATATCCATGTGATGTACTATAAACCTTGAAAATCCGTTTTCATGCAGAATGTCACCGGTAAAAACTTGTGAACAGCTGCATAATCGTCATGTCAAAAACATTGCATACTTAGGCCACAGCTGTTCTTCCTGCATAGCCTAAAGCCATTATTTAAGAGATACATTCATTCAAATCAATAACTTCTGTTTTCGGCTTTGAAACCATAATTTTCTAATATATTTCAATCAGAGGGTTGATGTTTGAAATGTGTAAAACCATAGATTGTTGATAAAATTTGCATCTAGGACTCATAACTTTGAGCAAATGTATTACATATCCAAACTGACAGAATGAGCAAACATCCCTCCGGGGCTAGAGGTAGATACTGAGGTGGTAGATGGGTTCAAACATCAGGCAGATGAACTGAATATTTTGCAGCTTAATATACAACAAAATCAAACCAGAAATGTTTGGTAGAAGGCACGAGGAATATAATGCAGTGCAACTTGAGTTGTCTGTCTGAACTAGCCTGCAGGCTTTGTTTTATTTAGATAGATTTCATGTGATTTCTTTGCATGACTTTCAGAGCAAACCCTATCTCACGAAAGTCAGATTATTGATTTTGAAAGTGAGAATTAGTTAGCATTAGCACGATGAAGACTTCATCTCTTCAGTTTTGACCTTTAGTCTTTACTACATTAACAAGGATGAAGTGCAGTGGCGGTCCTAACCTGTTTGGCGCCCTGGGCGCCCAACTCCCAGCAAATGGGCGATAGAAAACCGATCGGTGCCTATGCCATTCCCAATATGCGCTGGCATGATGTCGGGGCAGCAGGAGTACAAGCATTTTTTTTTTTTTTTTTTTTTTTTGGCCGATGCCCGTGATGCCGCCCCGGGCAACCGCCCGTGTCGCCCGTATCAGAAACCGCTACTGATTAAGTGGTGTATTTTCTTCAACATATTTTCATAGGAACAGCCATGTTTTTAATCTACTGTGAAGTTCTTAGCCCTTCACAGCGTGGTTTTTCACTGTATATGACCTGTTCCTAGTTTGTTTTGCTTTTTTGTCTGTTTTCTTTGTTGTTTCCTACCTTGTAAAACACATTGTTATCCTTCACTGCTGATCCCTGCCTCTTATCTAGCAGTTTAGGTGTTCTAGTAACTTTGCACTGAACCATAATTAACTGAAGTTTATAACTGAGAGTTCTGCACTTATGCTTCAGAGTATAGAGATGGTTAATTAGCTAGCCACTGCACAACCATTTAAAAATGTAATAATACATCTCTGGAAACTTTAAAATTCTTTTTTTCTGTTGGGTTGCTTTTTTATTAGCTGCAAGCTACAAGTTCAAAAAACTTTGAGGTTTAAAACCTTCAGCCTTCTGCTTGGAGAAAATATCTTATTATCCAGTGTTAGTCAGCTGCAGCTTCTCAGTCAGAATATCTGAGGTGCGCCAGCGTCCCACACGCTTTAGTTTTATTCTCCAAGCAGTAAAGGCAGGAGAGAGAGACCAATATTTGTAGTTTACAGAAACAGTTGTGAGTGTGCTCTCTTTTTTTTTCTTCTTTCGTGCTGCCACCCCCCCTTCCGCCAGTTTGCCATTACCTTATTTTATGGTGGAAAGTGCACATTTAATTCTGAGTGTTAAATTTTTCCCTGTTTTGTTTTACAAATTCTTAGCGTTCCTGCACACGTGTCTCAGTGTATCCCAGTGCAGCCACTGGCTTTGCTTGAAACGCTCCACTAATTGAATAATATTTAGCTTCTAATGATTTTTGATATTCAACCTAATAAGTCATGTACACAGTGTTGCAAAAGCTTTAAATATGTATATGTTTCCCATTTATTTGTCTTCATCAGAAGCCTGCTTCCACCCTCTCATTGAGTCACCAAAGCCCGTGGTGTCTTTCATGTACCATCCCATATGCTTCTTTGCATATGCTGAGTCCCTTTTTCACATCTAGCTGTCTGACTCTTTTGAACAATTCCCTTTAATTGCTCATTACTTTGGCAGTAGCATTCTCACTGGTCTCCACCTTCTTCCTATCGTTCTTGCCCTTCTTGTGCTCACACTTTTGTCTTTTTTTTTGTCTCATTGCTATTGCTTGCCCACTCGTTGTCTCAGCTTTAGTCCTGGTTTCCTTGCCTGTTATAATTGTCTCTTTAGCTGCCGTTTTTTTTGCCTCTGTTGCAGTGCTCCTTTGCTCTCTCATTTCATGCTGTGAAGCCATATCAATCTCCTTTGTTTGCATGTTTTCTCAAACATCAGTATGCACAACAGTTTTACAAGCTTTGCTCTTTACAGTGCTCTTCCCATCAATGGCTTTTAGCCCCTTTTTTGCCTCCTACTAGATTTTTATTTTTGGACTTACTCTACACTTTTCTCCCTGTGCCATCAGTCAATTTGAATTTCTGTATTATCTAAGGTCCCTGTTTACTTTCCACACACTCCATCTTATTGAGGTTTATTTATTTATTTCTAACTGAAAAGCCATACCGATCTTCCAGCTATCTTACTTGAAAGCTTATGTTGCCTTTCTTACACTTTGCCCTTATGGGTTACTTATTAATTCTCCCACCAGCCATTAATGGCCTTAAGTTTGCCTCAGTCTCGTTCACTGTATTTCACTTTGTTTCCTCTTAGTCCCCTTTGCCTCAGTCCTGGCTTTGCTGCTATAACTGTCTCTCTTATGGCAAGAACTTGCCGAGAGTCTTCATAAGTAATAGGCCCAAGTCAGATTTGTGGAGCCCCGTAGAGACGGTTTCTGGGGTCTCTGTAACTCAACTGAACCTGAAATAAACTGCCAAGATCTCTTCTCATGGCATTTTGCCCATCTACTCCCCAATCCCCACGTACTCCTACTTGAATACATTTTTATCTCTGTTCCCTCCCTCTTTCCTTTTCACATTTTATCGACCTCTTCCACCTCTTAACCTGTCATCCTCCTCTCCCTGCAACTCTGTCATGTTGCTCTTCATTACATCTACCTGTCTACCATTTCTCTCATTGCCCTCTCCCCTTCCTTTCCAGTCTGTAACCTAAAGTTTTTACTTTAATTAATCGCTTCTTGATAGTTCTGTTTATTTTCTCTCGAATATTACTTTCCTTGGTCACAGAGTTTCTCAATTTTCTGTATCCTGTATGTAGATTTTTTTTAAATGTAGATTTTCTGCGTCTCATCGTGAGTTTTTCCCTTAGACTTCATTTCCTTTTTTCTCTTTCAGTACCCCTCTATCTGTGCTCCCTTGTAGTGCTATCAGTAGGGTGCAGCTACTCAAATCTTACACTTATTCTTTACATAGGAGCTGCTTTCAAAACTCCAGAGAAAAGAGGGAATTGGGGGTGGGCTGAGAGTAAAAGCGCAAAGGAACAATCTCACAAATGTGATATTAAATCCAGAGTGGATCTACTCTGTAAAGTGACCTGGCTTTGTAAACACCAGCAGCTACTGAATGATTATCCTCAACTTTAATTTACTAGCTGAGATATTTATTATGGATTGCTCTTACTTTTTCTTTTTAAGCTAACATGTAAGCCATATCAGGCAAATAGAAGCTTATTTAAGTTTCACATTTTCTGGAGAATCAGCACGTGAGTAAGACAAGTAAATAAAAAAAATAACTTATTTATGACTTACCATTTGTTAGCGCTTGCATTTTTGCTCGATTCTTATTCCCAGTTGAAATTGTAAACAATACAATGGTGTTTTTCCCTTTTGCTGCAGGTCTGGTGGTGAGAGAAGCCAGCATAGAAATAACACGACAGCAAGTGGAGGAGCTGTTTGGCCCTGAAGATTACTGGTGTCAGTGCGTGGCCTGGAGCTCTGCTGGAACCACCAAAAGCCGCAAGGCACATGTCCGGATTGCATGTGAGTTAGCTACTCTAAGCATCCATACAAGATATAAAAGTTGGAAAATACTGCTTATGGGAGTGGATTGTCCACATTTAATATTTAAAGTTTTCTATCTGATAAACAAAACAAAACATTTTCTCTTATCTCAGTAAAAATGTGTATGTTTGCAATCTTGTGCACACAGATACACTAAACAGTTATCATGGGTTGATTCAGTCTCATGAAAGCCTTTTGTAAAACACAGTAGTCTAAAACTGAAAGCAAACAGGGAAAACTGATTACCTTATTCAATGCAAATAGAGGCATCACAACTGACTTAACCCCCTGGTGTGTGTAGTTTATTATTACTCTGTAGTAATATGAACACAAGTGCAGGGATGTTATACCGCCTATTTTTCTTTTACAAATCAAAACGCAAAAAAAAAACATCCAAGTAGTCTAGATTTTTTCTTTATCATCTCATCACTTGCACCAGTGATTTTATGCTGCACATACCTGCTGTGGATTTCCACAGAACAGCAGGACACGATAAAGTGAGTTTGTTACCTTGCTTTGAAGTTTAGGTGTGCAGTCGGCTGTATTACTTTATGCAATTTTTGTAACGGATGAAAAGAATCGTCTTGTTTCATGCATGTGATTTTACTAAAAGCACATTACAGTTGGTTACATTTTAAGCAGGAAAAACTGGAGAGTCAGTTTTTTTTTTAAAACCGAATTAACTAAAAAAAAAACCTTTGAAGAAAATGTACCCACCGTATATAATGCAGTGTAACTTTTCTAAGCAGAGAGTTAGCTCTATAACTTTGGTCGACCATCAGTAGCTTCCTGTTATGGTCTGGTGAAGAATTTAATAAGACAACTGGGAGTCTGACTATAAGGTCACCAAAAGAACACAGCACAGATTAGACCCGGCCAGACTTCATATCATTCTAACAGACAGTACTACTATGTAATACTGCATACACAGTTAACACATGGGGAAATCATTTCAGGAGTCCCCCAGCAACAGCTCAGGGAAAGGAAAAAAGCTAAATCCTGTCACGAGTGATGGTCATTTGACAGCTGTACAACATCTGAGGAGCAAGGGAATTGAGATGTTTGATAAAAAAAAAAAATCTAAAACAGTGGTTCTTAACCTTGTTGGAGGTACCGAACCCCACCAGTTTCATATGCGCATTCACCGAACCCCTCTTTAGTGAAATTTTTTTTTTTTTTTTTCAAATTCAAGACATAGATATGTTTTTTTACTGGTGCACAAAATGAGCCGTACATGAACATCACCTTGTTCAAAGAACAAAACCAACACAATGCATGAACTTACAACAAATTACATACCTGCAAATCAGTGTGACTTCTGCTGTTGCCTTTGAGAGACCAGTTCAGATATGCGTGGCTTCACCTTGGCAAGTGCCAGTCTCATGTCATTTTCACAGAAAAGTCTGTTCCTTTCTTCGTTTTTATGTCCAGCATCGTCGAAAAGGATTGCTCGCAAAGATATGTTGTAACAAATGGTATAAAAAAATCCAGGGCTTTCTTAGCAATAATTGGATACTTGTCCATTTGTCGACACCAAAACGTTGAGAGTGTTGTTGTTCTGAAGAGTTGCTGTTGAACCTGGCTCTGCTGAATTTCAATGATTTCGTCAAGGGTATTCATCATTGACATCTGCTGTCTCAACAGCAAACGTGAACGGCTGTCTCACCCATGCTGGATATGACTCTCTTGTAGGGAAATATCTGTCGAGAGACTTTGCAAGCTCATCTAAGTGCGTTGCAATTGTTTGCTTCAGTTCCGTGGATACAGAAACATCTCCGATTCCAGACACATCTTCGACCTTACTTACACAGTTGTCCAGAAGGGGGAAGTTTGCAAAGTTGTTGTTCTCTGTTCGTCGTTTCCATAACGTTAGCTTTTTTTGAAAAGCCTTCAGGTGTTCTTCCGCTTCTATGATATTGACTCCACCACCCTGCATCTGCCGATTGAGATGATTGAGAGCTGCGAATATATCAGCCATGTACGCTAAAATGAGAATGAACTCAGGATTTTTGAAGCAATCTGCATGACAGTGTTGGTGCTCGTGCAAAAACAGGGCTAATTCCACACACATGGCAAAAACACGATTCAGCACCTGTCCCCGGGATAACCACCGAACATTAGAATGGTACAGAAGTACCTCGAATTCAGAGCCCATTTCTTTACACAGCTCACTGAAGATGCGGTGCCTCAGAGCACTATTTCGCACATAGTTCACACATTCCACCACGGTTTTTAATACTTCTGCCATTTTTGGAGGCAAGGTTTTTGTTGCCAATGCATGCCTGTGCAAAATACAATGAGTCACAATGATGTGTGGTGCATCGGCTTTTACTAGCGCACCAAAACCAGAGTTTCTTCCCAGCATGACGGGAGCTCCGTCTGTACAAACTGCAGAAACCATGTCCCATGAAAGATTGTTGTCTCCGAAGAAGTCATCCACAAGCTTCTTCACATCGGCTGCCTTAGTTGTTGTTGTAAGAGGCTTACAAAATAAAAAATCTTCTTTTATCATGTCATCTTTCACATAGCGCACAAAAACAGTAAGCTGGCTTAGATTAGCAACGTCTGTGCTCTCATCGAGCTGAAGGCTGAATTTTGCCGGGCTTGAAATCAGATCGGCGACTACTTGAGCCAAGATGTCTTTACTCATGTCTTCTATTCTGTCGCTGACGGTGTCATTTGAAAGAGGAATTTGTGATAATTTACCTTCGGCCGCTGTTCCAAGTATCAGATTTGCCATCTTTAACGCGGCTGGTTTCACGAGTGTTTCACCAATGGTGTGTGGCTTGCCCTGCTTTGCGATCAGGTAAGCAACTTCGTACGATGCTGTGAGGATCGGTTTGTTAACGGGTACAAATCCAAGAGCAGGCAGAGTGGGCCTTTCATCGAATCTGGCTCTCTTCACCTTGAATTCAGCAAGTGTTGTGTTCTTGTATTCCCCGTCTCCATGCAGCTTCAAGAAGTGTTCCTTTAGTTTTGCCGGTGCGAGACTAGAGTTGCTCAACTTGGCGTTGCAAATCATGCAGATAGGACGCTCACTCCCATCACGTTCCGTGATACATGTAAATCCATATTGTACATATTCGTCCAACCACTTTCTTTTTTTGCCCGACATAGTTAGTATGGATTAAAATGTTAAAAAAAAAAATCACGCGAAGTACTACCACGACATTCACATGTTGACTACTGCGCGCGCTACATTCCCCGCAGCCCTGATTGGCCAAGCAGTGTAGCATGATCGTCTGCAGCCAGTGATGGCCAGAAGGGGCGTGTCATCACAAATTTACACGATAATTCGGGCGTGGCTGGACCTCTGCGACCTCCGCAGTGGAGGCTCTGCCGAACCCCTGAGACCGACTCACCGAACCCCTAGGGTTCGATCGAACCCAGGTTAAGAACCACTGATCTAAAAGAAGTCGTTTGGTCTTTCAACATAATCCTCATATAAAACAATGGATTGTTCCTTGAGAGCTTCTTTCACTGAGATTTGAAGCCACAACAGTAGTTTTCCAAGCGTCATTGCTCTGGTCAATTCAGCCATATAAGACAACTGGGACTTGTCTGAGTGCTCAGGTTATAGAAAGGTCAAGCAGAAAAGAAATACCAATAACAAAATCGACCCCACCTCTCCAGTTTACCAGGCTTATACTGACAGTTATGCTCTGCTTCAGTGCTCTCTCAAAAGGACAACTGGGGAATTTGACAGAGTCCATTCAGCATGCACACTGGATAAACTGCACACATCCCCATATGTAGGACTTTAACAGACAGTATCACTCTAGCAGACATGCACCCTGAAAGTCTTATTCTCCCAGGTTGGTCTTATTCTTTCTGCAGAAGGAAATCCATCATGCAGACCCTTGTGTTTTATTGCCACTTTTATTTGGCCTTAACTATGTATCACATTTTCACTTTTGCAGAACTTGATACCTGTGTTTATGTATTCACTCTCCAGTTATCTTGGAAGTATTCAGTATATTAATTTGGCAACAAAGGTCCATGAGTTTTTTTCACAGTGAACTTTAATTTGTATTTTTGCCTCTACACCACCTCTAATCAAATCAAATAAAAAACATATCATAGCATTAACTTTTAACTTAATAACGGCCATTATTATGCTGTGTTACCAATTTTTAGAAGCTCAAAAGTAATGTTAGGCCTGTTCTCTCATTTTCTGTGACACAGATAAAAGATCTCGAGTTAAATCTAAGTGTGGAATTTGAATTTGGTAGCTGTTTACTGGAACTGTCAATGTGAGGTCCAGTGAGATGTTGATGCAAAAGAAAGAAGGAATGTACTGGCCGGCTCAGCAACAGCCGAAATCTGGAAAACCAAGGAACGCAGCTACATCTGATGATCATAGGAATTATTAACCAGATTATTTGGACAGATGAAACCAAAATTAACTTGTACCAGAATGATGGGATGAGAAAAGTATGGAAAAGGAAAGAAACGGCTCATGGTCTGTTGCATACCACATCATCTGTCAAACATAGAAGAGGCAAGGCTATGGCATGGGCATGTATGGCTGCCAACGGAACTGGGTCACACGTGTTTATTGATGATGTGACTGCTGATAGAAGCAGCAGGATGAATTCTGGAGGGTACACAGCTATACTCTCAGCTCAGATTCAGCCAAATGCTGCAGAACTGATCAGACAGCGCTTCAACTGTGCAAATGGATAATGACCCAAAATCAAACTGCAAAAGCAACCCAAGAGTTTCTCAAGGGGAGAAAAATGGAATACGCTCTTCAATGACCAAGTCAGTCACTTGATCTCAACCCAAAAGAGAATTGCTTTTCAGTTACTGAAGATGGAAGTGAAGACTGAGAGATCCACACCACAGGTGGAGCTACAGCTGAAGGTGGCTGCAGTAAAGGCCTGGCAGAGAAAGCACAGTGTTTGATGTCCATGTGTTCTAGACTTCAGGCACTCATTGACTGCAAACCATTCGAGTCCCAGTATTGAAAACTGTCCTTATATTTAAAATTATTACTTTGCCCAAATAGGTTTGAGCTTCTAAAAAGCTGAAAGTCTGCACTTCAGTCACATCTTGATTGTTTGATTTGAAATCCAGTTCAGTGGTGTACAGAGACCAAAGTATAAATCCTGTAATTTTCTGAAAACCTATGGACCTAATTCTATTAATAACCGAATAATACATCGACATAAATCCATTTTGTTGTGTAGATCACATTTAAATCCAACCTTACATTCAATTATTCAATATGGTAAACAGAATTTGAAGAACTATTTTCTGTACTGAAACTCTGACCAGTATACTGTATGAATGGAGTGAGTACAAACATCTGCAGCATCATTTAAATGTCAAACCATTTAAAATTCTATCACCTTTCAAAAATTTTCTTTGATGAGCCATGCAAAATAAATGACTGAAAAATATATTTCAAAGTAAACTAATTGACCCAAACCTGAAACTCTGTTTAGCAGAGGTAGATACACCTGTGATTACTGACACTCAAGTTTCAATCGGGTGATCATTTGAATAAAATCGAGTACACCTGTGATTTACAATTAGCTTAATTGCATTAAAAATTACTTTCAGAAACCGTGCTTCAACAGCGTAGCAGTGAAAACCAGCCAGGTGAGTGCTTCAGACTTGGCACAGTAGATTATCAGTGGAAATGAGAATTTCTGTAAGAGCTCAAAGAGAATGAAGGGCATGCTCTCATATAAACATCAGCATCTATGCACAGCTTGGAATTAATGAGAAAATTCTATCTTCAAGAAAGTCCAAGGGGAAAAAAATCATATATAAAACTAACACTTGCATAAGAACATGGGGGGAAAAAAGGCTGGTGATTAGTGGGAGCACATCCTTCGGGATAAGACTAAGATAAATTGTTCAGGTCAGAAGGGGTCCAACATGACGGGTATGAATCTGGCCTGGTATAACACAGTGAACGCATACTCTAACTAAAATTTATAATACTAGCTGACAAGACAGCTCCCACTCTCCAAAAGCTCAGGTGAACTGGAATATCCCAGTGTGATAATAATGCAAAAGCCCATTCATTTTCTTAACCACTTATTCGAGGTTGTAGAGGGCTGACACGGTACCAAAAAGAGCTTCTGAAAAGGAATAAAAAATGAAAACTATGACCAGGCAAGGTAGGGTCCTTAACCTGAATCTAATGTAACACCTTTGGGGTATTTCAAAGATAAAGGTGGACCAATATAACCCCTCCAGCAAAGAGAAGCTTAAAAAGAACATTTACAATGTCAGAACTCCTCTCCAGAAATCTGTGCAAAAGGGGCATGAAGTCCACGCTGAGAAGGATTCTAGTTTTTAAGTAAATACTTTAATGGGTTTTTTTTTTTTACTAGAACTCTTAAGGTTGTGTTTTTGAATTTTACATAAGAGCAAATACTCTGCAGTTCAACAGTGTATGATCACACAGTATTGTGGCAGCAGTACATTCCTTCGTTAATTTGGCTTGTCAGTT